CCAATTTCGAAGTTTTATTTCATATTTTCACAAGGCCACCAAGTACTCTGCAAAACGTTTGAAGAAACCAGATCCAAAATCAAACTTGCAAACCTTAGACAATACATAGACATTGAGTAGTCAGTAAACAGACAATAAGTTATAATAATAGTTCAATAGCAGGCAATACATAGACAGTAAGTAGTCATTAAACAGACAATACGTTGTGATAATAGTTCAGAGCAGGTCACATAAAACAATATATACACAATTTACTATATCTAATGATGAAATCGGAGCTTGGTAGACTCCGATCTCGCCGGAGAAGGCTGCCAACCAGAGATGGAGCAGTCTTGCCGGAGGGCTGTCAGCGCAGATTTGAAGTTGTCTTGCTGGATCGGAGGCAGCGCCAGAGAAAGATTCACTGGAGGGCATGTTGTTAGTGGTGGTCACGGCTGCGTTGGGCGTCATCGGAGAAAACGGCGGCGGTGGGCGGCGTCATTGTACACGGTGGTGCTCTGTGGTGTGGCCGAGAGACATAGCAGCGGTTGTGTACTATCGTATTTTTATTTTGAATATACTAATGTAATGGGAAGGGTAAAAATGGAAGACAAGAATACAGTTTTCTAAAACGGTGCTAAATATACGCAAGGAAAAAACGGTGCTGAATCCTATTTTTCTAAAAATCCTTTGATTTGCTCCTACGGAGAGCAATTTTCTCTTGAAATATTACAATGTTAATGACTAGGAATAAATTTAATAAAATTCACTAAAGATTTTAGAATAAGCATATGTAATATTCCATCCTGAAAGCCCATAAAAAATAATAAAAGATTGCAAGCCGTTAGTTTTCTAAAAAGACTATTTATCTTGGGAAATAAGTTTTCCAATTATTTTTAATTGCGAAAGCAGCCCTATTTTTTTTTTTAAGTTTTCCAGTTTCACAACCTTTCCGACTCAATTTTTCGAATCGAAAAAATGTGAGCGGTAAGAAGATATGTAACACGGAAACTCTCGAGAAAGAATATGTTTCCCGTTTCCCCATGATTTTCACGTTTATTTGCAATATAGGTTAGAAGTTTTTGCTGCACAATAGTTAGGGGATGTTTCCTTTTTTCATCAAGTCCTGAATGAGTTAAGATGTCTGTCTGGGTTAAGAGATCTATCTGGATTAAGTGCTATGCATGTAACTAAGTGTTTACTATGTGTCCTGAATGAGTAATCTGAATAATATAAAATGACCAAATTACTCTCTTGTCAAGAACTAATAGAATATTTCTTTATTAAAAAAAGTAATTTCAAGTGTCTAAAAATCATAACACTGAATTACTAAAATAAAATAATTGCATTACATCATAAGAAAAATTCAAGAAATTTCCAATAACAACACTTTAAATATGCACATCAACCGATCAACGTTGAAAATCTGCTAATCAACACACAAAAAATTAGTCAAATAAACACAACTATATAGCTTACTGATTAACTCACAAAACTCATGAAGTCCATATATCAAGTCACAAGTAAACAGCCCCTTAGTGTATATACAATAGAGTGAGTATACACTGAATTAACATGTTATGTTGCTGCCTTGTTTGTGGAACAGATAAAGTAGCCTTGGAATTCTCTATCCTAATTGCGGCAGTCATGATCCTTCTTACTATGTATACATTTTGGGCCACATGGAGGAAATATGACGATTTTACCGTTCTTAAACCATTCTTATGTTCCGTTATCTTTGTGGCACTATTGTTTACAATTATTCAGGTTATTTATATTTCACTTTTCTAATCAATTATCTACAATTAATTTTACATCTCCCACTTCTGGAAACCTCATTCTACTAAGGATTGTTTGAATGTATATTTGCAGATATTTTTGCCTCAAGGGAAGTTCGTTAATGCGTTGCTGTTTGGGGCTTTGGCAACGATACTTTACAGTACAATGATCATATACTATACAAGATTAACCGTCACCATCTATTTTTATGATGATAAATGGATGGAGGCCGTTGTTGATCTTTACACTGCACGAGTGATATGTGTAAGGCGAGAGAAGAGATCTGTAGCACCCCTTGCCGGGCCGGGAAGGCTAGGGCAAGAAGTGCCACCTCTAGTGCTGGAGCACCAAAGCGTCAATTAACTATTCCATTATTTTTTAAATTTATCTCCTGAGTCATTTTCTTTTAAAATGTGCTGATAATGGGGGAAATTAATTTGGATGGTCACTTTAACTTTTAGTAAGTTTCAAATTGGTCACTCAACTTTAAATTGATCCATTTCAATCATCATTTATTTTAATTTGATTCCAAATTCATTATTACGGCATGTTATGACTGACTTGTCTCTACATGGAAAGAGCTGCCAGTGTTGTCTCTACACGATGAGGAGATATAAAAGCCATGAAAGCCATGAAATATTTCTCTATCCTAGCTCTACTGTAGGAGAATTGAACAAGGGCTGAAGGATCGGAGGAAAAATGCCAGGGTTATTTCTAGGCTACAACTCCGGCCAAATCTTCATCTCGATTATCAACGGGTCATTCCTTCCATCCTCGAAGGAGGTAAACTCTGCCCTCTGTCTCCGGCATGAATACGAAGATGACGACCGACGACGTATTTGGTTAAGTCTGGGTCTGCTTTTATTTGGCCGGACACTAACTATGCCCTGAACCTTCATCATTATAATAATTCCCAAGCTAATCTGCTTCCGGTTTGAGAATAAAGAATCGGAGCTGACAGTAATGGTGTTGCAGGCACGATGGAGCTTGAGGACCGGATGAATATTGGATGAGATGGTTTTATTACAATTATACGGAGTTATACACTGAAAGATAAAACACACTTAATTGAACAATCACTATTCGGGCAAGTAATATAGCGGCTATGATTAATCTGCAATCAAAGGTACAATTAAATGATCTAAATGAATCAAATTAAAGTTATGTGACCAAATTGAAACTTATTTAGAAGTAAAGTGACCATCCAAGTTAATTTCCCCTAATAATGGTAACGGTATAAAGTGATAAAAGTACCATAATTGCGGAAGCATGCATATATTATTCATAACATAAACAAAATTTTAAAACACCAAATAGGATCTCGAAATGTTTAGTGTTTATGTTTATTTATTTATTTATTACATTTTAGTAGCATACTAGATACATAATTATTACGTAGATTAAAAACAAAGTATTACTAATATGAAAGTGTGTCTTTTGTGTTTATCCACAAGTTTCTCTCAAATGTTTTTCTCCTTGAGGTTTGCCTCGTATCGATTGTGGACCTATGCAGAAGACAAAACCATTATGCTAAGCAGACTTTGCTTAATTAATAGTATTCATTCTTTCTCCATACAATCTCAATACAAAATATAATTAACTTAATAAATTAAATCAATTAAAAGATGTAGTAGAAAATACAAAAATAACTTGTACCACCAGATTAAATAATACAACTTTCTCCATACATATAATTAACGTCTTGACTTGTATATTCTGGAATATAATGATACATTTTGTTCAAAGTGGCTATTCGGTACATTTTAGGGGAAATTACCAAAATACGGGACTTTTAAGTGAGTTGCAATTCCGTGTTCCGACTAGAGTTATATTTTCATTGAACACCTCCGGTCGGAATTGGTAAATCCGACTAGGAAGATTTGCTCAATTTCTTTTCCCTCCTTTCGGAATTGGTAGATCCAACTAGGGCCTTTAAAAAAAAAAGATCCAACTAGGTAGATCGTTTTCTTTTTCTACAAATTATTGATCGAACAATAAAAGCCAAATATTTCGATCCAAGTATAATATTTATGTACGTGTTCAATTTTAATTAGATTAATCTAATCAGATAAATTTATTCAGATAAATTTAATCAGATAAATTTTAATCTTATCTGTATATATCTGTATATACATAATAGCAATGCAAAATTCTACTATTCATTGAACAGTAATTTCACTGTTCATTGAACAGTAATCCCGCCTAACACCTTTTTTTCATCTTAACCGTCTATTTTGGACTTCAATCTCTAGCCGTCACTTTCATCTCTCAGCTTCATCGCTTCACCCCGACCTTCAATCTCAGACAGCCATTTTCTCAGTTACTCCGCCTTCTCCATCGCAGCCAATATTCACCATCTTTATCCGCTTCTCCATCCCCGTCAATTTCACTGACTTTATCCGCGTCTCCATCGTCTTCATCTAGCAATGAAAATGACCGGCCTCACCCCTTTCCATTTTTTGATTTCTTCCACGGATTTCCCCTTTTCACACAAGATTACAAGAATGTGTAGCGTTATTCATATCCGGCTTTTCAATTCATCCAACACTTTCTCTAAAAAGATTTCACTTTTTTCTATTCTTGCCTTCAATTTCAATAGATCGAAGCTTCTCAGCCACTATCTGCGTAGAACAAGTGAGGCCCTGCACTACTTTGTTCAATTAGTCATTCAAAGCTTCCCAGTTTTCCAATGGATTTACACTAAAGTTTCTCAATTGTGGCCAGCGTTCCTTCTTCCGTTTTCCTCATCACATCTGCTCACTATAGATTCTTTGGTATTTTGATTCTTTCCCTTCCAAAGTCACTTAAGCATCTTATGCTATTATTTGCTTATGTTATTATATGTTCTACTATGGTATAGGAGGACTCAGTGTATGTTAGGATGGGATAAATGAAATCTTATGCTTCTACTATCAACGTAATGATATTTATATAACTGATATCTATATTAGCTATGGTGCTTTACATCTGAATTTTATTTATGGTTTAAATTATAGTTACACTCTTACAGTACACCGCTTAGCTGAATGCCTACATGTGTTGTTGATATCAATCTTTTTTTATACCAACAAAATTGATTGAGCTATTTTGCATCTATGTGATTAAGGAGTGTGATTAATTTAATTTATTTTTTAGATTTAAAGTTAGCATACTGGGTTTTTTAAATTATTTTGATTGATGATGTATTTCTCTCTTCTTTTGTTGTTTTTCGGAAAACATACCTACACTGCTCAGAAAAACTATAACGTAACTCTCTTGTGCTATTAAAGGATATATATGCATTGCTAATTTTGGAGAAGTATATGTTAGATAGCGGTTATTTTGGAAAAACATATATGCATATATATGTTAGTAACACGGCAGGCCTTATTTTTCTTCTCTAAAAATGAACTATTTCATTTATGTTGAATATGTGTATGTGTATGTGTCTTCAGATTATCATAGTATAAAAAATCCAGCTGAAATATATCAATTTATCAATTTCCCGCAGTGCATATTTTAGGGGTTAGTTTAGGGTTCATGTCGTTTGGGGTCCAAAACAACCTTTGCTCCCATAATTTATCAATTTTCAAAAGCGCATATTTTAGGGTATAGTTTTTGGTTTTGTGGTTTGGTTAGAAACTTAGCAAGTGTTCAAAGTCACTAAATATATGTGAAGCAAATGTTATAGAATGATAGAAGAACTACTAGACCAAATGCTGCTATTACATGCTATGCTATGAGTCTCCTCACTTTCTTAATCCATTTCTTTAGCTTCTTAATCAATTACTGGAATGTTAGTTTTTTAAGCAATTTTGACTTTTGTTAAATGCTTTTCTTATAGAATAGTGGCTTATTTCCTTCTTTATCTTTTTCCTGAGTAAAAATTCATTCAGCTTACTTTCTATTTACTTCCTTCCCCGTTTTTCAGTGCTTGGATGTTTAATCTGCCAGGTAAAGGTGAAGCCAGAAAACAGTATTAGGTGCTGTCCAGGGAAAGGTGAAGCAACTTGGTGACATGTTGCCTCTAATTTTTGGCTAATTGGTATGATTTTTAATTCACCCGTTTTTTGAATAAAAGGGATTTGTTTAGCAAATCTGAAAAAATCCAGCTTAAGAAACAAAATATTTTTTTTAGATGCAACTACTTGCAAGGAAACAAACAGTATGAGCTTCCTCTCATCAACAATGAGAAAACAACAAGCATCTTTCCAAGTAGCACATCTGAACAATATTTGTTAATGCACAAAAAAGTATCATATTTAAGAGAAAATTAGAACTGGCTGCATTCGTGTGTGAAAAACAGCTAGATGGAGCAGCTCACAAAAACCAGCAACACACCTAAACTAAAAAATACTGAATCAATAGGTTGATTACTTTTGTGAAAATTCTACTATCCAACATAGCTACCACTAATCCACTAATGTACAGAAATTTAATCGGAACTAATTATACTAATTAGTAGCATCAAAATAAATATATAAATATATATGTCCTAAGGAGTATGAAATTTCATTTTTACGCTCTGGGGAACATAAGATTTCATTTTTAACTTGAGTCGTGTCTGATAATAAAAAAGTTCCCCTATAATTTTGGACATAAGAAGTGTGTTGTAGCATGGAGTCCTGGAGTAAATTGTAGGCTTTAGTAACTATAGATCATTTGACTCAGATCACCTAGGCTGTGTTGACATTCCTATGCTAATATGTCATTGGATTTTCCTTCATTGATGCATACACTTCGTGAACTTTGTGAAAGTGCAAGTGAGTAATATATTTCTGTTCTAAACTCTTAGCAGCATTCCCATTCATTTTTTAAAATTTTCTCACACGTTTTCAAATACTAATTTAAAATTTTCATCAAAAAGTTCTTATAAAAAAAGGAAGAAGAAGTGATGAGAATACACAATTTATGAGTATTCCAGGATGGTGTTTTCATACTTTGTTATTAGTAATCAGTTCGAAGAAACAAGTTTGATATTATTCATTTATTTAATGTTCAGAAACAGCCTCTTAGCTTTTCTGTAGGGTCTATAGTGAATGAACAAATAGAAATTGTGCACTATGGTTGCATATCAGCCTGTTAGAGAGATGATAAAACATGAAAAGCTTAAAGAACTTTTGAGTGCTCTATAATTGTTGTGGGAACTTTTCAAGTGTTTTCTCTGTTTTCAATTCAAATCAATTTCACTTTGTGCTACTCTTGCTTACGATTATTCAGGTTATTTAATTTCTCTTTTTACATTATTAATCAAATAATTTCCCTTATTCTAGTGCCCTCTAAGGATGATTTTACATGAACTATTTTTCAATCCCAGACCAGACTTAAACAGACTAGATCAGATCAGACTTCCATAGTTATAAAATATTGAGAGATCAGACATTTACCAGACTAGACCAAACCAGTTCAGAACAAACCAGACCAGACTTAAACAGACCACACCAAACCAGACCATCATATTTCAGTCCAAGTAAAAACATCCTAATAACCATATTTTCTTTCAACTTACCAATTTT